TGGTCATGTAGGGAGAAAGGGTGGGGGGGGCTAAGGAGAGCTGGCGAAGCCAAGGCAAGACGACAAGTGGCAGGAGGACGACCAGGATACGAGTGTGAGTGTGTGTCGGGTTCTTTTTTTCGGGCATCACATATGCTCTTGACTGGGTGACACACACACACACACACACACACACACGCAGGCAAAGAGAGACACAGACAGGACGTTCATTTGTGCGCTGGTTCGGCTAGCTAGGGTGCTGGTGGGGGTGCCGGGGGGGAGGGATGAAGTTGCTCGCCTTTTCCTTTATCTTCTGTTTTTTTTTTTTTTGGCAGGACGAAGTGAAAGTGAGTCACATGCCACGACGACAGGGGCAACAACAACAACAGACGACTTCACTTGCTTGGTCAATTGCCATGTGTGTGTGGGTGTGTGAGTGGGTGTGGATGTGGGTGTGAAACGACCTTGGCCTTACTTTCGCCTTTGTCGTTGTCGTCGCCTTGTCCCGGCAGCGTGCGTGTGTTGGGCACTGCCTGCCCTTCCCCCCTTCCTTGTCTGTCGTCCTGCGTCCTTGGCTCTGCTTCTGTAATTTTATGCGGATTATCACTGCTCACCCGCACACACACACACACACAGACACACAAACACACCGAGGTGAGACGCGTGTGTTTGTCAGACAGACAGGTAGACAGACTCCCATCCAGTCTGCCTCCCAAGATGGCAGCTGCTGCTGGTGCTGGTGCTACTGCTGCTGCAAGGTCAAGTCTCGAGCCAGCTCAACTCGGCTCGGTTGCCAGGCAAGGCCACCAAGGATGGTATGTGGGTGGAGTTGGAGGTGGCAAAGAAGGAGGTGTGAAGGAACGAGAAGCCGGAAGTTAAAAGTCCATGGCGGCAGTAGCAGCAGAGCTTCAGCTGGAGCAGAGGAGCAAAAAACAACGGCCACGAGACCGGGGAAACGACAAACACTTGAGAGTCGGCACGGACAGTGTGGATTTTAATTTCAATGCCTGGTCTTGGTCTTGGTCCTGGTCTGGTCTGGTCTGGGTCTTGGCCTGTTTCTTGGTCTTGATTCTCTTTCTTCCCCTTCCCCATCAGCTAACAAACCATCCACAATTCTCCACCCACCCACATCCATCCCCCTCGATTGTCCGAGTCCGCGTTCGTGCTCGCATTGTCTGTCGGTCTGTGCGAGGGTGTCTGTCCTCCTCCTACTCCTCTTGTCCTCCTCCTTTGGCCTTTGCTTTTTGTCGGCAAACTCCTTCGCGGTGGCCACGCAACGTCCTTGAGCTGCCAAGACTGGGTGGGTGGCTTGGTTTTCTCTAGGTCACGGCACCTGTTGCAAGTCTGAGACTGTTTACTGCCAAGGCTTAGTCTTGCTAAGCATAAGAACCAGTTAATAACGGTGACTGCTGCTGCTGCTGCTGCTGCTGACTCAATAGCATTGTCAATAACAATTATCGCCGCCGTTCCGTAGGATAATTTATATATTTTCCACACTTTTCACTTTACTGGCCGCGCTCATGTGTTTGATTTTTTATTGAAAAACTTTGGCTGCTCGACTCGAAGTGCATACGATGTGGAAGGAACATGGAAATGCAATAAAGCCCTCTATGTCCGTCTCTTAGGTTGGGTTATGGGATGCATTAATCAGTACCCGCCGCCCTGCCTCTCTCCAAAAACCTGCTAAACTTTGCATGAAATTACAAGCTCAAATGCGCCGCAGAAAGATGCAACAACATTTAAAATGCAAAATGAGAAATGGCAGCGGCTTTCAAACAATAGCAAAAAACTATCAAAACTGACTTTCTACAATTTACACACATGTACCAGACACACACACACACACACTCATACACACACACACACAGATAGTGGGTTATAACAAAGCAATACGCGGATACAGATACAAATGCAAACGAACGAAATGAGTGGAAAAAAATGTATAATTATTTTAATACAAAAGCAAAAACAAAAAACAAGAAAAAAATGAAAATAAAAATAAGGAAAAAAACAAAAAGCGACAACAAAAGCGAAATTGCATTAACAATGCAGCGACCCCGCCCCGTCGCTCCACCGCCTGTTCCGCCTGCCGAAAGCCACATATAGTAGATATATGTTGTGCTGGGAATAAGGAAGAAAAAAAAAGAATAGACACACCAACACACTCTCACACACATTCTCACTCATTCACAAGGATCACATAATGCGGAGGGGTAAGTGGGTAAGAGGTGGCTGGCAAGGGGGTAAGAGGTGGCTAGGTGGCTAGGTGGCTAGCTGGCTAGCTGGTAAGGGGGAAGGAAAAGCGAAAAATACCGCGCCAAATTATATTATAATTATATTTAAAATGCTGCCGACGGGCTCGCCTGCCACGCCCCTATCCTGCCTTCACTGCCCGCCTCATGCCACTACCATTAAAGTAGAAGCAGCCAAGTAGAAAAAATTACTAATAATTTTGACGAAAAAAAACAACAAACACACACACACCATATATGGTGTACAGTGTGCACGGTGCGGCGTAGACAAAAAAGCAAACAATATCCGGGACTCCGCACTCATTGGCAGGCGCAATACCCTTCCCCGGACTCTCGTTTCGGATCACAATGGGGCAATCATAATATAAATATATATTTTTGGCTTTACTTTAATTGAAAAAATTAATCAATTCCATCGAATTGAATTCATTCCTGGATTTTATCAAGGGAATTCCGCCGTGTCCAGAAAAAAACAAGCGGAACGAAAAGCTGAGACATTTCGCAAGCAGATTCAAAATTTAGTCTATCTGCATTTTTGAGCCAAAAAGGGATCATTACTTTGTCCATATCAAAGCCAAAAATATTTCAAAAATCTTTGCTTGAAATTTGATTTTCATGAAAACTGCATTCTTAGTTTGAAATGTCACATCTTTCCGGTTTTTTGTTAGTTTTGCTGACGTTGCCCTTTATCACAAATGGAAAGTTTGGTTTCTGCTTATTTTCACCCTACAATGGCGGTATTTTTGCTTATAACTAATCCAATAATGGTCCTAATATAGAATGCCATATATCATTGAGTTTGATTTTTGATTTCCAATAGAGCTGTGTCCCCACCTTGAAAGGTAGAAATTTTCAAATTTTTCACAAATTTTGATGATGTTACCCCTTACAGAAAATGCGGAATTTTGTTAGTTCCGATTTTCTCTTAGCAGTGTCAGGATTATGTCTATAACTAAGCCAATAGTGGTCGGAATATGGAATGTCATATCTCGATGAGCTCGTAATTTGATTTCCAACAAAACTGCTTACCCACCTTGAAACGTAAAAATTTAGCCATATTTTGCAAATTTTGATGATGTTACCCCTTACAGAAAATTAAAAATTTTGCAAAAATTTTAAATCCCAAAAATCATCAAAGGAATGATGAGGAAAGTTTGTGTCGGTCGTTAGCTGCTCAAAACTGTCTTTACTTTAGATCTGAGCCTTGTTTTGACTGAGTTATAGGTATAATTCCGATACAAAATATAGCCATTTTGTGTTAAAAGTCATAATCCTGATTCTTGCCTTAAAATCAGAATATTTTCTCTCAGATTTAATCTCACAGCAAAGTCAAACAAAGTCGGAACATGGAATGTCATATATCGTTGGAATCGTAATTGAAATTCCATTCGAACTGCATTCACACTTTAAAATGTCAAATTTTGAACATTTTTCGGAAAAATCATGATGTTACCCCTTATCGAAAATGCAAAATTTATTTTATCCCGATTTATACTTAACATTGATAGTATTCCTCTCATAACTCAGCCAATAATGGTCGGAATATAGAATGTAATACCTCGTTGAGTTCGTAATTTGATTGCCAACAAAACTGCTTACCCACCTTGAAACGTAAAAATTTAGCTAAATTTTGAAAATTTTGATGACGTTACCCCTTACAAAAAAATCCAAATTTTGTCAAAAATTAACTTTCACAAAATCACAAAACTAATGATAGGGAAAGTTAGTTTTGATCTTTAGCTGCACTAAAATGTCATTCCTTTAGCTGTGCGACTTCTTTCGACAAAGTTAGAGTGAAAAACCTATAAAAAATATTGCAATTTTCTGTAAAAAGTCATAATCGTGTTTTTCCGGCAAAATAATCAGCAGTTTGGCCACAATAAAGTCGAAATGAGATTTCGGCCGGAGAGTATTTCTAACTTTGTGTGAGGCGGAAAAAAAAGTGGATAATATGCATCAAAACAGCGGACCGGGGCAACCAGCAGGAGGAGCAGGAGTAGCAGCAGCAACAACAATGACATTGACAACAATGGGTTAAGGTTTTCATGGTGTAGAGGAGAAGGAGGAAGGAGGGTGGTGTGACGAGAAGGGGAAACGTAACAAGCGAATAAATTTCAAGCGCTTCGGGAACACGTATCACGTATACGCGATGTGTAACACGGCTGCCGCAGTGCAGCCAAACAAACGTTGAAACAGAAGAAAGGGAAGAAAGGGGGGAGAGAGAGAGAGAGAAAGGGAGGGGGCTTAGGAGGTCCTGGCCAACAGCCAAAACTGATGCTAACTATAATTTGCACTGGTTGTTGTTGTTGTTGTTGTTACTGTTTTAATTTCATTTGCCTACCCTGTAATCTGGGGTCGTTCAACGACTTCTCTGAGTTCTCCAACCAGACTATACCGAGGTAAGAACAAATCGAATCATAGTCAGAGTTGAAGCTAACCCGTCCATTCGGTCGATTCGTGCCGCTTTGTTGGCTTAATTTTGGCCATTTTGCTCGCTTTTTGCAAGTAATTTATGTATTTATTATTTTTTATAAGTCGCATTTAGTTTGCAGGACGAGGGCAGCCCGCTAGCCCGCTCGCTCGCATGTATGCAATTCATTTCAGTAGATTTCCTTTTTGTTTGCTTTCTTTTTGGCTTCTGGCTACCATTTGCCGTTTTTGGTATTTAGACAAAAACCCAATTGCGGCCCTAACTGACTTTGGCATAGACAATATGGATGGCCCGCCTGAATTTATTACAAATGCAATTTGTTCGATTTATCCTTGCAGGAAAATCCCCGCAGCGGATGCAGAAAAGAGCTGAATGGAGGAGCTAAATGGAGGAAGAGCTAGACGGAGGAGGAGCAGGAGGAGATTTGGTCCACAATCCCCTGGTAATCCCCTCAGGTAAGCCCCCATACTTTCAGCCTATTATTAGATTAGATAACACAACCTTGCTTTTGGCATATCTAACTGTTTGTGATTGCGACTGCATCTGAAGTCAAGGCCATGGGGTTATCCCTCTTCTAATGACCCCGCTGAATGTTTCTTCATTCGTCTTATCGGCTAGCTGGCTGGCTGGCTGGCTGGCTGCCTTTCACAAATATTAGCTTTAGCTTAGCTGGCAGACTAAAATCAAGTAGTGAAATTCGCAGAAAGTCCAACAATCTCCATGACCCGACCTGCTCGCTGCTTATTAAAAAGAATAGAAATTCTTTTGAATTTTCACTTTTAACTATGACTTTTTTGAGGTTATCTGTTCTTGGAGAAACCTAAACTTTCTTCATCCCAAAATCGAAATTTGCAGCTCTGTCTGTCTCTGGCGTGACATGCCATGCGAATACATCATTTTCATTTAGGGGAAATCTCAGCTGCAGAGAGCAGGGAAGCGGCAAGCGGCAAGGTCCCCGCTTAGTTACCGCACATTGCCAATCTTTTTCTATATGTACGTTGAAGTAATACTTTTGCCAACTTGGCTCCCCTGGCAGGGCTGTAAAATTTGTGTCTAAACGCAAAACAAGGCGAAAAAAAAAACGAATAAAATAAATAAAATGGGGAGCTGCTGCTGCTGCTGCTGGTGGTTTGGTAGTAGGGTGTCTCGTAGTAGGGTGCGCAACCGTTCAATCAACACCCCATTTGACTAGCAACAACAACAAGGCCAGAAGCAGGCTGAAGTTGCCTAGAGGGGTGGGGAGTGGTAAGGGGGCTTATGGCTGGGGAGATAGAGAGAGAGCGAGCGAGCGAGCGAGAAAGCCGAAATCCCCCCGCCCTTGGCCCTTGCCTGGCAAACACTATTCTAACGTTCGCGGAGCTATAAAAATATTTTTTAACATTTCTCGCGCGAACATTTTCTTTTTCGGGTTTTCCTTTTCGTTCTCTTGTGCTCCTTCGTCTGGGGCCCCCGTACTTGCCCTTGCACCCCTCAACCCTCTATTCGTTACCCTCTACCCTCTACCACCCACCGCCATAGCCGCCCACTGCTGCAAAAGTTTGCGTCTGTTTGTCTTCAGAAAGCGGAGATTGGGGTTTTTTTTTTTTGGCAGCGGGGCGGGCGGGCGGTTGGCATCAGGTCGCTTGAGGTTCTGTGCAAAGGAGAAGAGGAGAAGAGGAGAGTGAGGAGGGGGGGGCTTCATTTTCCTTCACCGACTTAACAACAACGTAATGAGAGGCGCCTCCCTCTAGGGCGCCCCAAATATGCACGAGCAAAAATAGAGAGCGACGGCAACCAAAAATAATAATAATAATGAAAAGTTTACTGCATAGAAGACGGGGAGATAGAGATAGAGATAGAGGGAGAGAGAGAGAGAAAGCAGGCACAAAAATAGAAAAAACAGAAAGGAAAACGAAAGAAAGGAAAGGAGAAAAGGGGGCGGCGGAGTATGTATTTGAAACTAAACTGCAAAATAGAAGAAGATGATGGCGCTCGGCTTGACTGCACATTAACTTGATGCTCTGCCCTGCCCTGCCCAGCCCCGTCCTGCCGCCCCCGCACTCCACACATAAAGAAAGTTGTAACTATGAAAATTTTATAAATTCCGCAGATTTTCCGGCGCTAAGAAAGCCGAGTTCTGAGCTGGGAAGCTGGGTAGAGAAGAAGAAGGTATAGAGTCGGTTACTCTGGTCGTTTGGGGCGACGCCAGTGAGGTGGGTCTGAGATGTATGATGAAGGATGAAGGCGGCCTTTGATAATGTGAGCGCTGGCATTTTCCCCACCAGCCTCATAGTTGAGAAACTTTAGCTTAGCGCTTGCCTTAAGAGATGTGCAGCGGTGATGGGCCACTCGAGAGGCGTTGCTTTGATGGGATTGCTGCCTTGGAGCAGCCAGCAGAGAGTCGTAATACTTAGTGCCGCTGTTTTCCTAAACAGTTTTAGCCCAAAATGAAATATGACTAGTTGGTTGGCAACATTCTGGGCTCGATTAAATCAGTCAAAAGGGATAGGTAAGAGAGGGGAGGAGGGAAAGTCTGAATTTAAATTCAATGAAAGTTAATAAGGATGTCTGGTGGCGAGGCTTCCTTGGTGGCCAGAAGGTGGGTGGGAAAAAGACAAGCAGCCAAACAGCCAAACAGCCGATTGAATTATTTAATAAATTAATTGCGCAAATGAAGCTCGAGACCCGGCCACGCCCACATCCCAAATTGGCGGCCGTTAAAGTAATTAAGTTTCCAGTCTGAGGAGGGAGCAGCCTTCGGCAGTTGCATTTCCCTGAGGGGACGTTGCAGGGGCCCTAATCCAACAGCGACTAGACGTTGATGGGGTTTCAAAATCGCTCTAAATCCCTCTACAGTTGCTGCTCCTCCTTAACCACCCTCCCCCTTCTCCGCCTGCTCTTGCTACTTTCCAATAAATTTCCATTCCCAGAACAAAAAAAAAAGAAAAGAAATCGATCGATAATTTTTAATGTAGTCGTATTTCTTTTTAAGCACTCGCTTGTACCTTTTTGGCTGCCTGTCGCTCCAAGTTTTAACCCCCCCGCTCCCCTTCCCTTCCTTCAACCCACCCCCCACCGCCCACCCCTTCGGTTCGGTTCGGTTCAGTTAAGTTGAATTTAGCTATGTTCGGTTCGGTTCAGTTCGGTTTTCTTTTTGTGCGCTCCTTTTTTAATATTTACCCAATTCATCAAAAAATAAGTAATTATAAACTTTTCAGTTTTTCTTCTGCCGTCTTGCGTCTATGCTTTATGTGTATGTGTGTGTGTGTGTGTGTGTGTGTAGCTGTAGCTGTGTGTGTGTGTGTGTGTGAGCGTTTCCCTTTTACAAAACGCTTTCCTTTCGCTCTTCTACTGAAAAGGCTGTGCTGTGCTGTGCACACAGCTTCGATGTCGATGTCTTCCACGTTGAACGCTGCTGCCACCCCCAAACCGCCGCCGCCTACCACCAGCAGAAAACCGCTCCCCCCCACTCTCCCTTCCCCTGCAGGCCCCACTCGTCGCGCAAAGTAGAAAAAAATTGGAAACAACCCCGAAAAAAGAAAGTTTTTGTTGTATAAGCGAAAAACTAAGCTTCTATTCAAATTCTACGCCATCGAGTGCTTCGTTTTTATTATTCATTCATTCCGTTCTCAACCTCTGCCCCCCCCTTCCGCCCCCTCTCTGGGCCTCTGTTGTTGTTGTATTTTTTGGCACAAGCAAAATGAAAGCACAAGGAAAAAATGGGAAAAAGTAAAAAGATGAAAAATGTAAAGAAAGAGGAAAGTTTCCGATTACAGTGGGGGAGGTTCGAGACAAGGGGCAGTTGGGGTTGGGGTTGGGGTTGTATTGTAGGCCCGGCACAAAGCCAAGCACTAGTCGACAGCCTTACCCAACCCCACACCCCCTCAGCGACACACACACACACACTCAGAGAAAGAGCGAAGAAGAGGCAAGGAGCAATACATGCGCGTCTTTTGAGCATAAGTAGAATATAAAAATTTTGCGATTATGAATTTGAATAAAAAACGATACGAAGCCAAAGCACAGAGGAAGCAGAGGAAGAAACAGCAAGTACGCAGTCGAGATTCTGCCGCAGTCGCTGCCGACGATGCGGCATCTTTTTTTTTTCTGAGAAGCTCCTTGGGTGGATTAGAAGCTGCCAGGGGCGCGGGAAGGGCTGTGTCTTGGAAGGAAAAAAGGGTAGTTAAACTAATCTTTGCTAGCCGCAGCTACCTTTCACTTAGTTATAGTTTAAAAAAAACTATCTTTATAGGGAAAACCCCCTTAAGTTAGAGTTTCCCACGTCCCTGATGGCAGCTGTGTGTACTTCTAGGGGTTTTGGGGGGAACTAGTCTGTGCTGTAGTTACTGGCGCTTCTCTTTTTTTTGGTACATTACATTTTTCATTTGGGGCGCCGCCCCCCCCTTAAGGTCCCCCGCTCCTTGCGCTTAAATCACAAAAGCATCGACGATCGCAGTCGACTTCGCTGCCTTGGCATAATAATAACACAATCAATAATAAGGGGGGGGCGCCCCGAATACGAAGAGGGGGTGGTGCTGTTTCGGGAGGCAGCAAAAATGTGAAATAGTAGTAAATAGAGGATTGCTGTATTAGAGGCTGGTGCCGCGGCGCGATGTGCCATGTGCGGGATGTGGGATGTGTGTGCCACAAAGGTGGGGGGAGAGAGAGGGGGGAGAGGCAAAGACGTTTGGGTGGGTGGCTGGCTGACTGGGCGGTATTCGGTAGGTGGGAAGAACAAGGACGAAGACAGCGACAAGCGACAAGAAGATGGCGGAGTCGACGTTGGCAAATGTTTAAGCTAAGGATTAATATTTTTATTTTTTTGTTCGCCTTTTTTAGAATTTTGTACTTACATGCGAGGCAGTTTTGCCGCTTTTCTTCCTTCAAGCTCCTTTCCCTTTTAGTCTGTCTGTGTCTGTGTATGTGTGTGTGTGTGTGTGTGTGTGTGTGTGTGTGGGTGTCTTAAAAGTGTGTGCGAGTATTAAAAGGAAAGCGGCAGGAGGAGGTGGAGGAGGAGACAGTGCAGATGTAGCAGAAATCTTTGTAAGCAGTTTTCACTTCTGGAAATTTCTTTTTCGCCGCTTCTGGTTAGCTCTTCCAGGAGGAGGAGGAGGACCTCCCCCCCCGCCTTCTCGTGTCGCCAAAGGACGAAATGATGAATAGAGTTACTCAAATAAGAGAGCAAGAAGGATGTCTGCTGGCTGGCTAAGTGTGTGTGTGCGAGTGTGTGTGCGTGTGTGTAGTTCAAACATGTTTAAAAATTTCTATAACGATGCTGGCTTTGATAAGTGGTGGAATGGAATGGAATGGAAGTGGGTGGGTGGGTAACTTGGTTGGTTTTGGATTGGAAAGTGGGGGGGAGGGGGGAAAGGGGGGGGACTCTTCAGTAATATCTTCTAGTTCCCTTTTTTAATATTGTTTGGATTTGACGTTGTTCCTTGTTCCTTTCTCGCGACGAGGAGAGGCATGCTTTTCATTAAAATTTTCCCTAGTCATTTGACAGTGTGCAGGGGCGAAAGGAATCGGGGGGAATGATTGATAGCTACGCTGCGAAGGAGTGATAGAGCGAGAGGGTGTGTGGGGGTGTGAGCTCCTCCTCTCGATTGTCATTGGCTTGGGACAGGAGACAGGAAGATGGAGAAAGTTGGGCAGCAGCAACAGCACCCGATAAAAGGGCCACCGATAATTTGGCAAGGCTTGTTCTTCTTCTTTTTCTCTGCGATTCCGGCTTTCTCTCTCTCTCACTCTCTCTCTCTCTTTCCGGAGAAAGAGAGCCTGATAAGAAGAGACCGCTTGTGTGCACGAGATACTAAATTTAGCTTTCGGTTTGTTGTTTTGCCGCGTGCAGCGATCACTGAACCGGGCTTATCAGCTTGGATTCGATTCGATGGAATCGGCAGCGGATCGTTGCGAACTTCTAATATTGCCGGCGAGTCATAGGCGGTAGAGTCATTGGCAGAGCGGCGGAGTCAACGTCCGGCGCATCATCATCATAAACACCATGAACATCATCATCATCATTATTATTAGCGGTTTGATTTTTTGTTGGGGGTCGTGAATCATTGCTTTTGGCCAAGTCAATGCTCCGACGCATCTAAGCACCCTGTACCGCCTGAAAGCTTCCCCCAAAAGAAAGTGGAGGAGAGCCGAGAACGAGCAACGAGAGTGGAGAGCGTTGAGCGTTGAGCGTCGCTGCTTGGTGAGATCACCAGCACGGCATGCGAATTTATATGTGCATGTGCATACCCATACATGCACACACACACACTCACACATACAAACGCACGACTATCGTTCTCTGTTTAACTTGTTTGCTATCTTTCTACATCGCCTCTGCCGCTCCTCTGCCGCCGCCGCCGCCTTGGCCATGATCGCTCGCTCGCTCGAGTCGTTGGTCGGGGGTCAATGACTGCCAAAAAATAAAAAAACACACACAGAACTTGGCGTTGTTGTTGTTGTTTCTCTTTTTTTTTGACTTTTGTAGCGCACAAACTGAATAGTCAGTCGCACACACACACACACGCACACACACACTCATGCACTGCGATCCTGCTGCAAGGGTGTGAGTGTGAAGGCATACAAGTGCCGCTCTTCTGGTGATTCTTCCACTCACCTCCCGCCCCCTGGACCCCCACCGCTTTCCCTTGGCCTATGCAGTTGCGCATTTTTTCGTAGGCGTTTGCTATATAGGCAGAGACATCTGTATATATACTATATACTATATATATATATATTTAGTACATGTTTTTTTACTGCGTTTTATTTGCTGTATGGAAACAGTTTCGCCAGTTTAGTTTGGCCTTCCCTTGGCCGAATGTTGTTGTTGTTGTTGTTGTTGTTGTTGCTGTGTCATTTAATACCCGAAATTCTAGTCTAACCGGATACAAGGTTCGTTGCATTATTTTGCATTTGCAACGTAGAGGCGGCTATACTGCTATACCTGCCCGTTTTAAGCGGTTATGACATGTTGAGGATCGGTGAATACGGTTTTGATACTTATGGGAAGCCAGTGAGGAGTTCTTCTACCATGCCATGCCATGCCGACTATGCATGCCTTCTAATAATAAGAAGAGCTCTCAGGCTAATAAAGACCTAACTGCCATGTGGCGTATACTTAATAATTACTTTAATGACAGTCCAGGAGTTCCGCCGGGGCAGTCCTACAATCTCGGCGCCATATGTTGGCTGTGCCCAAGGAATGATGATGATGATGATGATGATCCCGACAGCATGAGGCAATGATTTAGCACGTAACTTGTTCTAAAATTGGAAGAGGGTTAAAGGCAGATCCTTGGGGGGCTGAGGGCATGCTCTACTCTTTGTTGGAAGCCTCTCGCAGATCGGTTGTTCTTTCGAGTTTTTGGCAATTTTACAAGTTTGCTTTCTAAACTCTCCTTCTTAATGCCGCCCCTTCATCTTGCAACTCTTCAGCACAGCAAAGAACCATCCCAACCCCACCCCACCCCAGAGTCCCTCTTCGCATGAGTAATTTGCTATTTGATATTTTTCGCAACTTTGTCCGTGTGTCTGTGTCTGTGTGAATCTGTTTCGGGTCTTGTTTTCTGGGGGGATCTTTGCATGTGTGTTCTCCTCTGCTCTGCTCAGCTCATTTTTGGCAACTGCAACGCTTTCCTCTGCCTCGATCGCTCGCACACACCACCAACACACTCTCCTCGCACTTATTAAGAATCTGAAGGCTTTTAGTGCAGCTTTTTGTTGTTGTTTTGTTTTGGTTTTGGTTTCGGTTTTTTGGGCTTTTGTTTGGATTCAGTACGAGCGCGTGTGTGTGTGTGTGTGTGTGCGCAAGCGAGCGTTGTGTGTGTGTGTGTGTGTTTTGTTGTTTGGTTTCTGGTTGGGTCATTGAACCGCCTGCTCTTTGCCTAAAAACAAAAAATTGCAGTCCCAATTTGAGAGACCGCGTCAATTTTTTCACTGGAATTTGCAGGCCGATCGTTGTTGAGAGATCTCTCTGTGGCAGCGTTGGGCGTGGCAGGGAAGGGAGTGGGGGAGTGTGTTTGCACAAAAGTAGAAGTAGGAAGTGAAATTTCGCACAATTGGTGAGGAGTGAGTGTGTGTGTGTGTGTCTGTGCATCGACTTTGAACTTTAAACATTTCATTGTTCGCGGTTAAGGTGATGGGAAATCTACTTGGCTTGGCTGGCACTCTTTTTTTTAGCATTAAAAGTTAAGATAAATATCCTTAGACTAGGCACAGATTATGTTTTGAGGCTACTTTAAGGGTTTAGTTGGGTAGAAAATGTTTTTTAGGAAAGAAAACTGTAACAGAAGCTTGAATTTATAATGAATTTTGAGTTATTAAGTTAGTTTTAACCTTAATGATAGTTTTAAAGTTAAGTTAAGTTATGGTTAAGTTAGATAAAGAACTGCGATTGATGGTAAACTTGTTTGAAGAAATGATTTCTTTAAAGATTACTAAAGAAAAGAAAGCTAAAAAACGCTTTTTGTCAAGTTTTTGAACATAAATTGAGGGAAGGTAAGATCCATCAAGGGTTAACTTCTATATTTTGGTAAACCACCAACAAATATTCGATATTTAACAAGGTTTATGTATAGGAATTAAGTTAATGAAATGAATATTGAATCTTTATTAGGAACTATAAAAGTTAGATCGACTTTTCATTAGCTTAAGTAGATTATCAGAAAGTTCCTTCTTAGAGTTTCTGGTTTCTAGTTAGTATCAAGGGGAACCAGTAGTTTCTTACTAAGATTATTTACTACCTTATAAGAGAGTTTACTTTAAAGATAATTTCCAATTCAAAAGATCACTTCACCTTCGACACTTCCTACAATGAACTTTAACCAACTTTAATACAGAAAACAAAAAAACCCCGCTGACTGCTGACCTGCAGCTCCTAGCCTTGATCCCACCTTGCTCAGCCGCATTTTCATTTTCACTTGGCTTTCATTAAACACGCGCCTAATTAATAAGCTGCGATTTAGAGCACATCGCGCAAATTGAAATTAAATGGCGGACATTAGTGGTTGCCCCCCGTCCGCCGTTGCAAGGCCCCTGCTAGGCTTCCCTTCAACCGCCAATCGGCCAACTCAAACCACACACAGTTAGAAGTAGGAAGAGGGAGAGGATTGTGGGGTGTAGGGACCCTGGCGATTGTTGGGCAATTGACTCTTGGACACTTTGCCGCCTCTTTTCAGGCCCGCCCTCGCCATCGTACACAGCCTGGCACACAGGCAAACTTTGTTGACTTTGTCTTTGTTTGCACTTTTTTGTTGCACCCCTCGACGGGAGTGCATGTGTGTGGTGTGTGGTGTGTGGTGTGTGTTGGTGGTGGTGGTGGTCCCTGTCTATGTCTATGCCTCGTGGCTGCACCAGGACCATGGACTAGGACCATGGATCCGTGTAAGTCTAAGGGGAGAGGTGGCGGGTTGTTCATGGGCCAGATGGAAAAAGGCAAGCTTCGTGTGTGTGTGTGTGTGTGCTAAGCGCCGTTTTAGTTGGTGCTACAGTTTTTTTGTGTAGCCTTTTTGGTTGGAACATCCTTTGGCAAGGTCCCTGCATCCCTGGCAGGAGCAAAAACGGAAGCTCCCTTTTTTGCCCGGGCCCGACGTGGCCAAGTGTTAAAAATGATAAAGTGAATGTTTTGCTTCCCCTGGTTATTGTTGTTATAACTTTGTAATTTCTGACGCCAAACAGGAGTTAGTACGCGGATGATGAGGAGTTAACAGCGGGAGAATGATAAAAAGAGAAAAAAACTAAAAAACAAAGGCAAGAGGGAACCTACCTGCTTGTGGGTGTCCTGGACGATGACGAGAGCGTGTCCTGTGCTGGTTAAAACGACGGTGAACTCTCCTAATATTGAACTTGGTTGTTGCTTGCACTCACGCACTTCTTGGGTCTCAGTTTGTTGTGTGGATTTGACTTGGATTTGATTTTTGGTTCTTGGATTTTGGATCTTTGTATCTTTTGATCTTGTTGTGAGTTTTTTTTCATTAGGTTAGTTTGTCACTTAATGCAGCGATTGATTTGAGTTGTGAATCACTTGAAAAAAACAGTTTCTCAGCACTTGAACAAAAAAGGCGGGGCGGGGGCACGTTGCTCGCTCCACTTGAGGGTGCGGCGGATTGTTTCTGGCATTGCACTGGCACTTGGCTGTGGCACTAATGTCTAGGCTCGTCCTGTTCCTTGTTCCTTGTCCTTTGGAACGAACCTCGAACTCTGAACTGTACTGGCTTGATAACTGGGTGAAACTGAACTGAACTCTGAACTAAACTTCACTTCGGTCTGGCGATGGATGGCTTGGTTGATTTTGACTTGGGTTGACTTGGGCTGGCTCTGGTTCTGGTTCTTGGTTGGTTGGCTCTTTAGAACGACGCACGTCCAATCCGATAGCTAACTGATGTTCATCTAAATGGATCCGAACTATACGAAAAATAATGTTGCCCAGAAAATGTGTTTTTGAGATCAACGTCGCTGTCGCAGTCGCCGCTGGCTGAGACTGAGGCTTCAGCTTCAGCTTCAGTTTCAGCTTCAGAATTTGGCGCTGTCGTCCTCTATGTTTTCGTATCTCTCTATATATGTATGTGTAACTATATATATATATGTGTGTGTGTGTGTGTGTATGTGTGACGGCCTGCAGTTGTCAATGCTCCAACGGCAACGGCAAAGTCGGTTCTGAGCCGCTGCACCGCTGGCCTGCACATAATATGCAGGCAGCTCGTAATGAGCCAACATCATCATCATCATGGCCATCATCATTATCATCATCATCGTTGCCAGCGTCGTCGCTGGTCATCATTTCTCCAGGCCACACACACACACATACACATACACGCACACGCACACATAGGCGCTGACCTGAACGGAGCCCGACTACTGCTGACTACCCCTACTTCAGGCTCAGCCGGACCTGGTCAAGCTCCTGCTCCTGCTGCCTTCTGCCTGCTGCCTTCTGCCTACTCCCTGCTTTCTATCTCACTTGCTCCCGCTACTGCTGTCTCTGTCGGACGAGACGGGACTGGTCGCCGAAAAATAAAAATCTGCCCAAAACAAACTGCAAAAATGCAAAAATCGCTCACAAAAAAACACTCACACACACACACATATGGGCATACGAACTGCACAAAAAAAAAAAAAGAAAACCAAAAACTGGGCAGTGCATGTACGAAAGGAAAGGAGAGGGTGAAAGGTGCGGGGGCTGGAAGGGAAAGGGCGCGGAACGAAGCTACAAAGCGTAATCCAAATACACGGCAACACTGACACACACACACACACACACAGAGACACAAAGGCACACACACACACACACACAGCACATGCAATCGGAAAAAAGAAGCTAAAAAATTAAAAAATGCAATCGAAACCCTATAAAAATATGTGTGCACTTTGCCCGCCCCACCCCCTCTGCGCCCCAACGCACACACACACACACACACGCGCTGATACTCACACAGATGCGTGGCAAATGAGCGACGCTTTCGTCCTTTTTCGGCCTATGAGCCTTCGTTGACGTCAACGCCGGCGTCGCTGCTGCGTAGCTTCAATAAAAAAAAGAAAATCATTAAAAAAAAAACACAGAAAAAATGCAGAAAAAAATTAAAAGAAATCGGCGAATGCACAGTCTTTTTATATTATATTCGTTTATATAGAAATAATGCACAAACACCAGTTGCAGTTGCAGTTGCAGTGCCACCAACACACACACACACACAGTCACTCACACGTAGGCATAATATGCGTGCAGGGAATGCAGCAGCATCAGCATCAGCATCAGCAGCAGAGGCAGCATCAGCAGCGGGTCCACATAGATATTTATATAAAATATATAGGCAAAAAAGGAAAAACTAACAAAAATGCAATTTCAAATGAGAAAAAAGTTCGATGCTTTTATTGCGGATTTTTATTTTTATTTTCTTTTGGCTAACATCCAGCCAAACCCCCCGAACCCTTTCAATACCAATGGGCATTGAGCTGGACATTGGGACAAGGGTAGTGATTAATCGGAAACTGATTTTGGGGGAATGTGTTTGAGATTCATTTAGAACTTAACTATAAAGTAGAAACTATGGAAAGGAGTGGATGTTGATGGATGTTTATCATTTCTATTGATGAATTTGAAATTAACTTTTATCTCTATTGTAAGGAGTAACATTCTGCAAACTATACTCCTGATTAGGTGCAGATTAAGATAGCTTGAAGATGGCTGAAAGATAGCTGAGAGATATCTGAAAGATAGCTAAAGGATAGCTGAAAGATAGCTAAAATAAAGCTGAAAGATTGCTAAAAGATAGCTAAAAGATAGCTGAAAGTTAGCTGAAAGATAGAAAAAAATACCTGAAAGATAGCTAAAAGATAGCTGAAAGATACCTGAGAGATGGCTAAAAAATAATAGAAATATATCTAAAAAATAGCTAAAATATAGCTAAAAGATAGCTGAAAGATAGCTAAAGATAGCTAAAAGATAGCTGAAAGATAGCTAAAAGATAGCTCAAAGATAGCTAAAAGAAAGCTAAAAGATAGCTGAAAGATAACTTAGTACCGTGTCCTGTTCCATCCTTCAGATTCCCTTCACCTTTTCATCTACCATCGTCCCACTGTCCAACTCATTATATTTATTTAGTTAAGGACACCACATACACACACACTCACACACGCAAAACAATCACACACACGGGTGAAGCTATGCCTAGACTCCAAAAAAGCAAGCAAAAACCAAAATAAAAATGTACATAGCATTACGTATACGCACTGAATGCCCAGTCCACATTCACTTCCACATTCACATCCTCGGCAATGGACAGTCGGCATAGCCACTCCATGTATCAACCAGGCCACCCCAAACCTACTGCATTTCCAGCTGCGGCGCTGCACATAGGCAAACCTTTCAAATCCCCCCAAAATAAGCGACGCATGTGTAGGCCTATCAAAAAGTCGCAGTCACGCAAAACGAAGCACATAATGGAAAAGTGCCAAAAAGTGCGAAAAAACCAAAGTGGTTGCCAGTTGGGAGAGTCGGGGAAAGGACACGACTGCCAGCCAGGATGCAAATGCATCGGCGATGGCGGTGGCGGTGGCGGTGGCGGTGGCAAGCAAAAAACCAAAGCAGGCGCAGGCTAAAAAAAAAAAAAAGGCAGCACTGCAGCCAACTCGCTCTGGCGCACGCACTTTCAGTCGCACGCATGCCGGACACTAGCCAAAAAAAACAAAAAGAAAAAAAACAAAAAAAAAACAGAAAAAAAAGCCCAATAAAACACGAAAAAGTGCAACCGAAAAAAAGCAAAGCAAAGCAGAGTGGAAAAAGGACTAAGAGCGTCGAAAATAAATGCACGCGCACAAAAAGTAGGCAACACAAAACAAAACCAAAGCCCGAGCAGCGGCAGCTAGTAGGCCTACACTCGTTGCAGCAGCAGCCGGCCGGCTCGCCATGCAGCCCGACTCCCAATTTCCCGATGCACTGACATTGAATGCAATGCAATTCCTGCAGTACGATGCACTTGTGGGCGGCGTAACACCCATGCCCATACCACCTGACGCCGACAGCGACGTCGACAGCGTCAGTGGCGCCAATAAAATTAAAAAATAAGTCAACGGAAATCGAACGAACGAAAGCGGCAGCAGCAGAAGCAGCAGCAGCAGCAGCACACACACGAGCGCCGGGCCGAGCAGAGCGTTGCATTCCCCTATTTTTTAAAATCATCAGCTCGATGTTTTTTCCCTGTGCGTTGCACATGCAGCATGCGTGTGTTCGTGAACAAAACAACCCCCGAAAACCGAAAAAAGGATGCACGCACACGCATGCAACACATGTAGCTGTTGCAGCAGCAGCAGCAGCATGATGCAGTCCGGCCAGTCCGACGAGCCGATTCCAGTTATGGGCGTTTTTTGTGTGGTCCTGGGATGGCAACAAAAAACACAAAAAAAAGAAGCTAAAAAGTGGCAACAAAAAAAAAAATGAAAACAAAACAAAAAAAAAAACTAAAAAATAAAAGGCCAAATATTATAAAAATGCAACTGCAAGTGCAGCGCTGCTGAGTCCGCTGCCGCTGCTGGTGCTGTGGAAAAGTGCAGCGCTGCAGCGGCGGAAAAGTGCAGCGCAGTTAATGCTGGCAGTAGGCGGGTGTGGTGCGGCAAGGTCGTGGCGTGTGGCAGCGCGAATTAACAAAAAAAAAAAAAAAAAAAAGAGGACAAAACAACGAAAATAAATAAAAGTGCATACACGAGGCAACAAAGTGGAAATTATATAAAAATGCGCTAAAATCCGCCGACACACGCGCGCACTCACACAGCCGCACATTTAGGCGTTTGCCACTATACATGTACAACCATGCAACACACACACATACATACATTTATATGCATACAGTTTGTGCATTTTTTTGCTGCCTGCTTTCGGGCGTCGCTTTTGGCTAGTGAGTGTGAGCAGGATAACTGGGATGCTGGGCTATTGGGCTGTTGGGTGTATGCGTGTTCATGAGAGGGGGAGCCACGTAATATGTTTGTTTAATAGGCCTAGCGAGCTCAGCTCTGCTGGGTGTCTGTTTGTGTGTGTGTTTATTTGTGTGCTGTGAAAATATGACTATGCAGTTGGCATTCACACATACTAGCTTTGACTGGCAATAGTTCTGACATCTAGTTTAGCTAGCTCAGGGACCATTTTAGCAACCTGTTGATTGTTGTGGCCTTTGGTAGGCAGAATGTTAGGTGATTGAGAGATGGAAGGATTGTTTTTTTGTTGGAGTGAATAGAAAGGGTTGTTACTCCTTTTTAAGCCTTAAACTAAACTAAACTAAGTTGTGCTTAGGCATTGTATGGGTAACAGGGTAATTATGAGTTATTAGAATGATCAATTAGGGGATATCTTGGCTTTATATCGCCTATCTTAGACTTAAATCTATAGGAAAGTTCTAACTAGAATAATCTGAATATTCATTTGCTATTTTCCTCCGCTGTAGAAACTCAACTAACTAAACTAAGATCGGGTTTTGGAATATAAATTAAAAATAAAGTTAGAAAAAATTATTAAAATATATCAATGAGACAGCATTAGCAACATAAAAAATATGTTTTTTAAGGTAAAACCTAATCTAAAGTAAATCAAATTCTAAGATTATTAATGCCCGATAGATCTTACAATGCCATAACGAAAGCTTTGATGAAAATGATTAGTATTTTCTAATTTAAAGCAATATATTAATCTAAGAATAGGTTTATCAAGACCAAAAGTTGGGCTAAGAAATATTTCATGAGAAGAAAAAGAAAAAAAATCTTCCCTAAGTTCATATTTTTATGGCCTTTCCATTGATTTAATCATATCAAGAACCCAATCTAAAACCTAAACTCTTCTTCAAGTCATAACTACTTTAGTTAGTCCTTTAAGAACTTAATCCCTTGTTGGCATAGCATGATGGAAAGTAAAAAAGTAACAAGCTTCGCACCTATTCTATAAGGAAATCTGCAGATCAGCCATTCCGGCAGCCATCCAACCCAATCCAATATTTTCGTGCTGATGTCCAAATTGCCGTTAGCGGCTGGAAAATTGCGTGAAAAACATTTTTTATTTTTCGTTGTATCCCCAAACCGACTGAATCATCAAAAAAAAATACATAAAAAAAGTAATAAAGAAGAAGAGAAGCTGCAGAAAAAAAATACATAAGCTGCAGTGGGTGGAAGATGGGGGGGATTTTGGGGCGGTCGAGTTGGAGAAGGAAGGAAGGACGGTGTCTATGTACGACGACGGGGCCCGAAATAACGGTAATGCAACAGCGCCCAAATATCACATTAACATCAACAACATGTTTCACTCTCCCTGCTCTGTCTGTGTGTGTGTATGTATGTATGTGTGTGTGTGTGTGGTAATACATAATGTACGCAAAAAAAGGACTCAGAAGGAAACAAAACGAAAAAGTCAAAAAATAAATATACGTCAAAAAAAAGACTGAAAAGGTTTAATAATAAAAAAGAATTACCAAAACTCAGTACATGGCCCTACACACACACACACACGCACTCACACATGCGTAAATACAATACACACACACACACGTTGCACGCACGAAAATAAAATGCAAATGCAGCTGACAGAGAGAGGCGGAGTGGGAGTGACAGTGGGTGGATATACTGGCCGGATATACTGTCCACCATAAGGCCAATGCATTTTTGTTAATCACACACACACGCACACGCACACACGCACACGTACGCATACACGTGCAATTTATTTGGTTCATTTTTCCTCTTTTTGTTGCTCTTTCGTTTCGTTTGTTTTGCTCGTTTTCTCCACTGACATCATTTTTTTTTCGCCTTGTTTCGCGTTGTTTTCACTTTTTGTTTTGCTTGTTTTTCGGCCCCGCTGCACTGTGGAGTGGTGGGGGGTGGTCAATGGGTGGCATGGCTCGATTGCTGGACAAATTACACATACGCCGCGTGGTACATGCATCAATACATGTGCGCATATTATGAAAATGACATGCAGGCGGAAAAGAGCTGGAAAAAAGAGTGTGTGTTTCTGTATGTGTGTGGGTGGGTGGATTGGGTGGTAGGAAAATATGCCGCGCCGTGAAGTGCGTATTTTGGCTAACTGCCACTCCCACTCCCGCAACCGTTTTTTTTTTTTTGTTTCCACCACGCCCGCGACAACAGGCAGTGCGGCTACGTGTGTGCGCATTTGATTTTGGGAATTAGCGGGAAAGGGCGCTGCTGCATGCCACACAAAGGATTCCAATGAGCAGCAGCGAAAACCATCGAAAAACTGGGAAAGCTGTATGGGCTGGGTATTTATCTATACTTTTGGATTATATTAACGTTAACGCGACTCTGGCCAACAACAACAACAAATTTGGAAGAGGGAATGGGACGAGGGACCAGGAAGAGGGTCTCTGATGCCGCCGAGGCATCCGTTTTTTTCGTTCGCCCCTCGTTTTTCGTGGATTTTTTATAAACAATAAATTGTTATGCCTACGCGCAGTTATTTATTTTGATTTTTGTGCAACTTTTTGTGCATTTTCCAATCCAATATATATTTATGTGCTTAAATTGTCTGAATGCATACACACGCAGCCAGTACATACGTGTGTGTGTGTGTGTGTGTGTGTGTGTGTGTTGCGTGCGTGTGCTGCAAAAAGGCAGCCATTTTTAAAATGTTAAAAATATAATGTAACGCTAGACCCGTGCGTTAGTGGATGTGGATGTGGATGTGGATGTGAGGGAGTCGCAAGTGGGCGTGGACGTGGGCTTGGGCCTGGGCGTAGGCGTAGAAGTTGTAGGGTTGAGCGATGGCCAAAGCTCCTCACATGCCATGTCAGCCACGCCCACGCCCACCTTTACTTTTTTGTGGTTGCGTCGATTTTTCTTTATGTTTTTTTTTTTTCGGTTTTTTTTAACATGTTTACCAAGCTCTTAATGAAAAATGCTGGGGCCACAAAAAATTAGCATAAACGATTTTAATTGATTCCGTTAGGCAGGTGAAATGCAATTGCCACTGGAAATGGAAAATGGAAAATGGAACTGGAAATTAATGCAGTCTTCTAAGGGAACAGATCGATTGCCTGCATTCCTGCGATCGCAGTTGCATCTTCCAGGCCAGTCGAAAAGCAAAAGAGAAATCGTCGACAAATCCCAATCTTACGATGCTTCACCCGCTCCCCCCATCCCAACCCATCCCTGCCTGCCTGCCTGCCTGCCCTTTGATCAGCGCACAAAGCACAAAAACTTTCTACGGACTCCCAGCAGCAGCAGCCACAAAGAAAACCTGAAGAAGAATGTACGCACACCGCTGCAGTCGCACTCCCCATCGATCTTACATGATTTAAGGGCAGGCATCTCGAGCTCGGGCTCCCTCGGAGTTTCCCCCTCCCCACGGCAGGCAGTAGATATCCCCCATGCCGAGCTACTGACATTGCCATTGCCATTGCCTTAGAAAGCTGTGTGGTGCGCAAATTGCTCAACAATGGCAGTGGTGCAGGGGCAGTTGCATGCCCGAAAAACGAAGCCAAACAACAAGAAGAAGAGCAGCGAA